AACTCTGTCATTACAGGAAAAATTGCATTTCGTTGCAATTATTCACCTCTTATCTCGGAAACGGTAAAAGTCACATTCTTGACGTCTGTTACAGCAATTCCTGATGATTTCTTGAGGATCTACACGTCTTCCTTATCTCTGTTTCTCGTGACATCATGCTATGTCAGAAGTCATCTCGAAAACTGTAAGCACGGTACGTGGAGGACTCATATAAAAGCTTCTGCAACGCCTCCTTGTCATGGCACTTTCAGATTTAGATAAATACCTTGATATCAGCTAAACACCAGTCTTGCCTTCTTCTCTTCTCAGTATTCCCACTTGTTAGAGCAGTGCCATTGTAAAGTAAAATTGCAACGAAGTATATATACATGGTCTTTCAGTTCTTAACAGCTGCGCGAACTCCTTGAAGATCTTAACATGAATCTATTTAGCCGTGTATTTCTTCTAGGTGAGTATTAAGGGAACACATCTACAGTACCCTTCTTATATTCATCACTTAGGACTGCTGCTCACCGTTGGAGCTCAGAATGAGTTGGACGCTGCGATAAGATACTACGAACGAGAGTGCGCGTGCACGCCAGCTAAACTATGGCTCGATGTTGTAGTCGTAATGGACACTTCTCTGGGAATGACCGAGGAAGGTCTTGCACAGGTAAGGTCTTTCCACTCAGCTAATAAACTTACTGGAAGTTGCTGAAAACCACCAAAGCAGCTCAGACTATTTAACCATCCTGCGTATATCTCAAATTATAGGTCCTGGCTAACATTGGTACTGTATTCGATCCAACAACTATCACGCAAGGTGCAGGCCACCATACACGAATTGGATTGGTTACATATGGATCCAAAGCAGAAATAGTATGAAAAACTAACGCGTCCGTTTTCTGTCTTTTATATGAGGTGTTTTTTGCAGAAACACAAGCTGACCGAATTCAAATCCACTGATGAATTTTTGGAGAGGATTTGGGAGATTCAACGTGCAAATGACCCATCTTCCGATTTGAAAGAGTTAGTAACCTTTTCAAAAGATAGCTACGTTATCAGTGTTGGTGAACTTGATATTATCCTCTAGTGGTCTCATGAAAGCTGAACAAGTTTTCCGTGAGGGCCGCGCTGATGGAACCAGGAACAATTGCAAGGAAGCCATCATCATTTATGCCAGTGTTTTCAAGTAAGTCAGGAGAAGGCATTTTTTATTCGACTACTCTTATTTCGCTTCAGGGAGAGCCACTTTGAAGATGCCAAGCAGCTGGCAGACCAGATCAAGATCAGCGGAAAGGACATCATCGTTATTGCATTCGACCAGGGCGGCAAGCCTAACGCTCTAGACCAAATCCGCAAGGTATATGGCAAACAGAGGTCGTATTAAAATATATTCCTCAACTACAGATTGCCACTGAGGGCTTCTACTTTACGAATGTGGTACCTAACCTTTCCGGCGAAGTTCAGCATGCTCTTTGCGCAAGTAAGATGAGATCTGAGCCAAGAATTTTGGCTAATTAGACGAGTATTTCAGTTAACTGCTTCTGCAGAAAGCAATGGCTCCAGTACACTCTTGACACAAT